GCACACAAGTGAAGAACATCAATATGAGTACACCCAGCTTTCTCTTCTCTTTCCCTTTCCCAAGATCCTTCCAGGCCTGGGAACCTACTTTCTGTTTAGTTTTGATTCTGGATTACTAATTATTATCTTTCCCCCCTCCCCTTATTTAATCTTGCCATTTAATTTCACAATATCCTTATTTTCTTAAGTTCTTTTTATCAATGAATTTTTCACTTGCCAAACTGAGCCAAGTCAGCTTTCAGAATGTGAACAATAGGAAGTTGAAAGAGGAAAGACGAGGCTCAAGAAGAGTAGTCTAATATTTGGAGGGAAAATTTCAATTTAGAAGATATGAAAATACAGAGAATATACTCGATACAGAGCAGGAAAATCCATTTATCCTGTCCTGTACATTATCATTCTCCTAAATGCTTAAATGAGTTATAGGAAAGATTTTTGTTTTAATTAAGTCATCTCTGATATTCAGATAGGTTAACTAGCACTACAAAACAAAATTACTCATTTTAACATAGAGCTCTCGCACATCTATTTTTTTAACTGATAACAAAATCTCTTAATGAGGAAGTCTTACCAACACATCACATTAAAAAGTAAACTTCTTCTTGTCCTGTATTTCTACCTTTGCTCAGGATAATGATGGAACATCTTCCTCCCACACCCCATGCCCAAGATACCATAAAGAAAGATCATTTTCTAAATGCTTCCTATTAACTCATACCTGAGGCCCTCTGCCTCAGTTTGTACAATCATGTGGAATCTGTCCCCGATCTGTATGTCAGTCCATCACCCACACTGCAGTCCAAGCGATAGCTCCAAAATGTACCCCCGAGGGTGTCCTGCCCCCTGGAAATCCTTCCATATCTTCCATTTCCAGGGAAGGTGTTTCTCAGGAGCCAAGGGGCAGAGGCAACAGAATTTATTTTCATCGCCCTCCCCACACCAGGCCCTTCTCACAGGGGCCTGACAATAGTTACCTGTCTGTCTTTTCCCCAGCCAAGGATTTCCAGATCAGTGGGACCAAATCCTACGAGTCTTTGTTCCCCCTGGTAGATGCTTAATGGCTTTTGAATGACTAAATGCACTAGGCTGTAAATAAATAGATGGGTGAAGAAAATCACAGTAGTCAGGAGTATATAAGCTGACTCATGTTTTGCAAACAGTTTGTAATATCTTATTATTGTTCAGTCAGTCCAATTTGAACAGTAAGCTACTGGCAACAACCAAACTATGGTAAAACTGAACTAGTTATTTTGGTCATCTTAACATGTAAACGAGATATAGACATTTGTTGATCAAATCACATAGGAAACTCTACCTCTGGAAAAGGGTGTGTGCCAAACTAAATAAAAAACTACTACAAATTTTGAAATACCACCATTTATTTATTGAGTGCATGCTATGCACCAGGCAGGGTCTTAAGTGTGTTACATGTTCTTATTCATTTAGCCTCACAAAAACCCTGAAAGGCTCAGGCTTTTATGGTTCCCATTTCACAGATGAGAAACCTGCCCAAAGGGTACCCGGCAAGTACCTGTGGCACATGCATGACCTGTGTTCCCACCCAGCAGGCTGTACTGCCTCTCAGTACACAGGTGGACGTTGTATGGTTTCTATGAGAAATAGCAAACAATACTTCCCAATCAGAACCATAATTAAGCTGGCTTAGCTTCCATCTTATATTCAGATCAATAGATGCCACAAATCCCACTTGCTCTATAGCTGGACCCTGTCACTTCCAGTAGTCGATTTATTCATCATACATAACAACAAAAAGAAGGGGAAACTTGTTTCCAACTTGACTGAACTGATTTTTGCTTCCTTCCCTTATGAAACTGGTTCTGAGATGACCTTAACTGAACCATTACCTGGAGAGCAAAATATATAGGTGCTCTGCAGCTTCAAAGATACTGGAGTCCAGAAATGGCTGAAGAAATGTAAATCAGGGGCAGGCACACAGAGGTTCAAGTGAACAGGAGGTGGGCAGCAAGGAATAGCTGGAAGGTATTCCAGTGGCTGACTGTCCATGCATCCAGCTCTCCCCTCAAAATTGGCACTTTTGAATAAAAGCAACTACCATACTTGTCTGTTGATATTCTGTTTATCTAAGACAGGAAACCAGATTTAAAGAAAGTGAAAAACACTTGTAGCCATGCCATCTTTTGCAATTTCTTTTTGTAATCCTGTGTTATAAGTACTACAAAATAACAATGAGAATTAAATCAGCAATGGCTTCTCTTTCATAAAAGACAGGAAAGAGGCTTTGACTTCCCAGGCTCAGCTCCACAGACCCAACCCCTACCCTTTCCCAAGAGCCTCAGTTGAGCCTCTGGTCTACCAGGAAAGCCCATGAGTTCGTGGACCTCTGAATTCTATGCTCAGCTCCTCAGTGTAAAGTGCACCTTTAAGATTCCTTTACCTCTCCCAAATACTGCAGGCCCCCTGCTTCCCTCACAGGAGAATGTTAGAATTAACAATATTAGGTTAATACTGTCAGCTTTCTGAAGGGCTCAAGGAATTTGGAATGAGAAACTCTGCATGGATATCAAATATACTTCCTTAATCAAAGGACCTGGGCTGTCCATATATCTTCAGAACTAGGGACACTGCAACACCAGATATCGATTTGTTATTTTAAATGGTGCCCAGAAGAGAAGAGGACAAGATGTGACTGAAGGTCAGGACTTCTGATGACTGTCCTTTCAACATCTGGCGGAGGGGAGGCGATTATCAGATCGCTGAGTCCATTATCATTAGCATATTATTCGGTGCTGAATGCATGGAAAGAACAGGTCGGGCCACAGATGTCTTTCAGGCAGAGCACCCCCACCCTCCACTCGGCCACTCCAGGCCTTGGTAAAGTGAACTGTGGGGCACCTTTCTCTTCTTCTCTCTGCCCTGCCTCCACTTGCACCCCACTCCCACTTAAGAGTTCACAAGCCGTTCCTGCCAGTTTAAGCAGAAAATGTTCAGAGAGGTAACAGGGCCATGGTAATTAATTTTGCTCCTTGACTGGAAGGTGAAAAGCTTTTTATTATGTAAATTATAAATGTCCTGAAGGGAAACTTTATCTCACTCTCACCAATGAGCCCATCAGGCTGCCTGAATCAGGGCTTTTTTTTTTTATGTTTATTAGTCTAGGGGGGCCAGTTAGGACGTTTCATAGCTTCTAAGTGCTGACATTTATCTATTGCTTCCAAATAAGCCTAGTGGCAGGGAGCCACGGGCAGATCACTAAACACAGAGGGTGGGGGCAGTCTGTCGGCACACAGGCAGCTTCTGGGCCTGAGGGGTGGGTGGGTGCCCGCCAGTCCCCCAGCTGAGGGCTTCTGTCTCTTTCTCTCTCTCCTTCTACCATCTCCCTCCCCTGTGATTCCTTCTTGCTCATCTTGGATGTGCCTTGGATGGTGACACCCTGCCTCTCTGGCACAGGGGACTCTTTCTGGGGCTGAGGGAAGCCCGCTCCTCCCTTCACCCTCCCACTCCCACAGCTTTCCCAGCTATACTACTTGAGCTCTTTGGGAACCATGCTTGCTCTCAAAAGAACACTGGAAGTTTTTTTCCCAAAGAGGAACAAGTTTATATACCTCAATGGCTACATTTTTTGTGTCGTCTTGTCAGGGCCCAGGTAATGTAGTCAAACATTATTCTGGATGTTTCTGTGAGGATATTTTTGGATGAGATTAACATTTAGGTTAGGGGACTTTGAGTAAAGCAGATTGTCCCTACCATGTGGGTGGGCCTCATCTAATCAGTTGAAGGCACAAATGGAACAAGAGACTAACCTCCCCTGAGCAGGAGGGGAGTCTGCCAGCAGACAGCCTTCAGACTTGAACTGCAGCATCAGATCTTCCTGGGTGTCTAGCCTGCTGGCCCACCCTGCAGATTTGGGACTTGCAGCCTCCATAATCACATGAGCTAATTCCTTAAAATCTCTGTATATAGATATAAATTTTAGATATAGATATATAGATTAGAATACATACACAGGTAAATATATCCTGTTGTTTTGTTTGTCAGGAGAACCCTGACTAATACATATTTCAGTGAGAGTGTAGACAGCAAACACCACTCCACTCCCAAAGGTTGGGTTATATGTTGGTGATTGGGCCTTGAGAAAGGGTAATCTTCGCCTTTCTTATTTTGTACAGCAACATCTGCTGATCTGTAGCAAGGCTGTTGGGTAATGTGTCCTAGGCTGCAGAATAGAATTGAAGATGGTTGGAAAAGAAGCAAGAAATGAGAAGAGCATTTCCTTATCAGTCCGGATTTGGGAGCAGACCCTGCATCTTCTGCTTAAAAATTAATAAATCTATCTCATTGGTAGATAGATGACACACATTCTTAAGAAGCTTACAGAGAGAACTTCATTCTCCAGCAGTACAAAGGCCTGGGTACATGCGGATTGGGGATGAAATGGCACCTTGCTTTCCTGCAGCTGATAGTCTAGTGAAGCATTCAGGTATTAAATAAATAAAGTCACATATAAATGTATGTCATGGTATCTGCTGAATCTCATTACAGGTAGTACACCTGTTTCATTATAGAATGAAATATCCAGGAAGGCATCTCTGAAAAGACAGTATTTTAAAGAAACTGAAAAACAAATAGGAGTTGGATAATTTGGGGAGAGCATTTCAGGTGAGGAAACAGAAGATGTGTTGCTTTTAGACAAGAAAGATCTCAATGAAGAGCAGAAGGGGAGGACGCCAGAGCTTAGGAGCCCAGGAGTGAGGTATAGTGCACAGGGCCACACCACTCAGAAGCCCGTTCGCCCTGCAGAAGCAGTTGTGTTTTCTCCAGGTACACTGAGAAACCAGTGAAGTAGTTAATGTAGAGAAGTGACATTATCCTAATTTGTAAATATTATTTTGGAATATAGCAAAGGGAATATAGCCAAAAATATTGTCCTGACTTTGTATGGTAACAGATAATAACTACATTTATCATGGTGAGCATTTTAAAGTATACAACTATTGAATCTCTATGTTGTACACCTGACGCTAAGATAACATTGTATGTCAATTATTCATCAATAAAAAGTCTCTTTACTATTTGGCTACCTCTGTGTGGAAAATGGATCAGAAAGCACACATCAAGACCAACAGGGTAGGCATTCTTTTATTACTCTCCTCATTGACTGGATATGAAAAAAACCTGAAATTTACCTTCTCCTTGGCTTATTGCCTTTCAGGCAGAGAGATTCTTGCTTACAGGGAGGTAGACTCAATTGAAAAACATAATTTAAAAATGAGAGATGGGAGAGAGAGAAAATCCATTTGGTACTAAAGATCAAAAGGCTTTTTGGGGAAGGGAAATAGTTTCTAGTAAGTTAGAAGCTTACTTGGGCTTCTTTCTTTTTCTGAGAGCAGCGTTCAAGGATAAAGAATCAAGAAGGGAAAAGGGAATTTAAAACCACTACTGTGGATTGTGATGGGATAGATCTATCAAGAAAAGGAAGTTAACGATTTAAGTTATTTATCAATTACTAGTAGTTGTTGGACAGTCTTCCTCGGATCTACCACTCCTGCAAGACTAGACTATGCAGGCCTTCATACAAGGGTGGTAACTTTACGAAAGGGATGCTTAAGTACCCCACAGGCAAGAGCAATAATGGCTTGGCCATGGCTGTGATAGAGCAGGGGCTCGAGACCTCCCGGGTGGTGGTGACATAAAGCCGAAGAGGGAGCAAAGCCGATAGCACCCAAATATCTGCTCCTGTGGTGATTACATTTGTCTCTCAGCATTTATGCACCCAGGATACAGAACCCAATTCCAGCTCTTTTGGAGTTGAATGTGACCATGTGGCTAAATCATGGTAAAAGGGAGAGGAGGGAATAAATGCAACTTTCAGAACATGTCTCAAAAGGGAAATGGTATACTTTCTCCTTGCTGCTTTTCTGCATTTCCCTGGGCTGAACTGTGGGAATGGTGGTCAGCCGCCTTGGATGAAAGGGTAAAGGCGGCCTCCTAGGGGCAGGGCAGCTGCCAATGAAAGGAGCTAAGTATCTGACACCATTGTCCTCACACCCCAGCAGACCAACATAGCAATGCCTGGACTCATATGAAGAAAGAAATAACTTCTATCTTTTTTAAGCCATCATTTTAAACCATACCTTAACTAACACAAGTTGTTTTCCAAGGAACATCTGGCACCTTACAATTTTCCCACCCCCTCCCATCCCAGAGGTAGAGGGTAGGAGGACAAGGGTGGAATCTTCCTACAACCCTGCTCACAAATGGGAGGACTTAGGAAATGTGTGGCTGTGGCTTCGAGTTTAAATAAGCAACAATTTACAGAGTGAGTCCATGTCCTTTTGTAACCACTTCCTTAGCTGCCATTAATTAAAAATTAAAACACACAACTTAAAATAATTTTTTCCAAGTACCTCTCTTTTAAAAACAATCTCAACACTTTTAGTGGGAGAAAGTTCAGGTTAGGCTTTGGAAATCTCTGCGAAAGACATTCTCACATAGTCAGAACTGTGAAACCCATCATACAGAACATGATATCTGAGTAAAAGGACCCTAGTTTTACCACCAGCCCCACAAGCGACCTCAGGGTTAGGCAGTCTGAGCACTATCATGTCCTCCCTACTTCTCATTCTAAAAAGAGGGAAGCAGTTGCAACCCTTCTAAAGAACAATTGTGAAGATTGTAGCCTCCTCATCATCTTAGAGATGTGGGGTGAAAGTAAACGTTCGTGGGGCCCTGGTCCAAACACCATCCAATGCCTGTCTTCCCTACATCACTCGCTTGAAGAGAAGGTTGCCATCTACTATCCTGGGAGGCTCATTATTATTGTTCTTAGTGTATTTGATTCCTAAAGTAGTAAAACAATGCCTTTACCATGTCACACTGCTTTTTCATAGAGATGACATGAAAAGAAAAGCAGCAAGGCAAAGGGAAGGGAGACCGGCTTTGGTGTCTAGTCTAGCATTGAACCCCAAGTTTACTATGGATGTGCCCTCGGACAAGTCTCTTCATGTCTTCAAGCTTCCACTTCCTAAGCTGTTGTGATACATATTGTAGGGATCACAAATACACCTAAAGTAATAGCAGTAGTACCTGCACGAAGCCATTAATGGATAATTACATGATTGTTTTTGTCCTATTGTAACTTTATCAGTATTACAAGTCACCCTAGGAGCAATGTACCCAGATGGCCTAGGCGCAAATCCCAGTTCTGTCCCAGTTTGCCCCTAACTGCATAACCTTGGGTAAGTTGCTTAACTTTTCTGTGCTTCAGTTTTCTCATCTGTAAATTGGGAATGGTAATGATACATCACACTACATGTCTGCTGTGGGGGCTAAGTGTGTGAAAAGATACAAAGCACTTTGAACAGAACTTTAGTGTTGGTAAGCATTATGTAAGTATCCAAGTCCGCTATTATTAAGAAGTAATAAATTACAAAATGTGAAAGCCTGTTATCCATGAAGTGAGTGGAGCCCTTCACATGTTCTAACATAAAATTAGACATGATTAATTCAGGAAAACAGTTGCACACAGTTAACTCTAAACTGTATGGTAAACAAATAGTCATGAATGTGGGTATTTTGGAACAGGGCCTACCAGAAAAAACTCTTATTTTTGTCTTTTATGGTGTATTTTCTTCTCTAAATATGCATTTCGTTTTGGTAATGTTAAAGTCTCCTTAATATGAAGCAACAGTCCAGGGCATGGGAGACAATTGTTGAAATTGGGCAAATGGAAGTTTAATATGTTGAAGGTTTTCAGAAAAATTTTAAATAAAATGACAGAAAAATTTTACTTTAGAGTCTTCTCTTATCTTTCCCCCAGTGCTAACTGAGCTGAAACCCTCAGGAGGTGTGGTTGACAGGGGATGCGAGTAGGAGCCTGGCTTCCTCTTGTCTGGACCACATTCTTCCACCAAACAGCTGTCTGACTTAAAATGTGTCCCTGAACATCTCTGAGCCTCGGTTAACTTACCTGCAAAATGAAAGTACTTGATTAGAAGAGCTCTAATATTTCTGCCATTTCTCTCATTTTAAGATCCTATGTTAACTTGGTAGATAGACATTAGTGGGCAAGCTGTACTGGCTACTTTTAGGGATATGTTTCCTATATTTAGTGTTCCATGTTAGAGTATTTTATTGTAGGGACCTACAAATGAAAGGATATTTATCAGTCACAAGAAGCAGGTTATGCTGCAGTAACAAAGGATCCCAAATGTTTCCATGGCTTTCAACAACTCAGTTTTGTTCTTAGTAACACTAGGTGTCCATCAAGGGTCAGCTGCTGAGCTGTTCCTGAGTTCCTCGCAGGACCAGGACTGATGGGCAGACTCTCTGGGCGCTGCTTTTCTTCTGGCAGAGGGAAAAGAAACACTGCAAATCAGCTGGCCCTTAAAACTACTGTGCAGAAGTTACAAATGCCACTTCTGCCCACATTTTATTGGCCAAAGCAAGTCACAAGGTTTCTCCTGGCTTCAAAAAAGAGGATGAATAATTAATCCACCCACCGGGAAAAGCATGATAGAGGAAGAAAATAAACTATTTGGTGAATACTAACACAATCTACTACAGATGTCAGTGGAGAATTTATCTCCTGAACTGAAAAATGATTTTCTCCTAAATGGAGGAAAGAAGAACCCTCTCTTCATTAAAGGGAATTATCCATACAGGAGTATTTGGAACCCAAGTACACAAACATAAGCAAAAAACCAGGTGCGGAAGCAGTTCCTCTTTGCAATTTTACGAGAAAATAAATACCGAGCAAAGAAGGGGAAAGAAAACACAAAAAGAAAACAAGACAAGGGGAGCCGTTAGGGATGGGGAGAGAAGCTAGGAGCTAGGGAAACCCAGTCTTGGAGAGCTGACACCATTTTCTGCAGCTCCAGGCGGTTCCAGCTAATGACTGCGTGCAAGCAGAATGTGAATGCAAAGGATGCCAGCATGTACATAAAAGGCAGAGGAAGAAGGATCAACATGTTTTGCTGCCATTTCCAGGAAAGGAATGGTGTCCCCAGCAGCCTCCCACAGTAGATGACCAGAAAAAAAAAGCAAACACAAATAACACTCATTGAAAAGCCGAGTCGTGACTACTGTGTTTCACAGCACATCCTCCCTCAAATCCTGGCTGCAGCCCAGCCCAGCCACTTGAAGCAGCGTTGGCAGCTTGCTCTCGCCTGGCACCGGGTGTGCATGGCAGCTGGATGGCTTGTAGTCAGGGTAGTTTTGCAGCTGGTGGTGGTAGCAATTGGCAAAAACTAACTGTCCAGATGGGCATTAAATTTTCCTTAATGTTTATAATATGTCAAAAGAGAATAATCTTATGTCAAAGTGGCTTAGAAGAACTTTTACTCAGGAGCTTACAGAAATTCCTTTCTGACAAGATGGAGGTCACTTTATTTCAACTGCATATGTGAATCTTTTTCCCTTACGTTAGGTCAGGGGTCTCCTCCACAATGGACTCTCTGTTGGCCAAAAGGGGTTGGGGAATAGTCTCCAACCTGTTCTCTTTCTTAGCTTCTCAATTTGTTGATTATTACCCAACATTTAGCAGTATGGTGACAGGATTTGAACAGAGGGTCCAAAAGGAAAACAATATTTTATACTGGAATTTTTTATGATCCTCGGAGGCACTAGTGCCATCCAGGTAACATTATAAAACTACAAGTAAAGTAATAACTATGTTGTCTAGAAGAAAAAGCACTGGACAAAACATTTTCAGACATATAAAACAGGCAAGGAATTAATATCTGAAATAAGTATATTTTTTCTTTTTTTTTTCTTTTGGTATCATTAATCTACAATTACATAAGGAACATTATGTTTACTAGATTCCCCTCCATCACCAAGTCCCTCCCACAAACCCCATTACAGTCACTGTGAAATATGTATTTTTTAATTGCCATAAATCAATGAGAAAAACCAAACCAACAACCTATTTTTAAAATGTGCTTAGGATATAAATACATAATTCACAAGAGAGGAGATTCATATGGTCTGTATATTCTGAAATAGGGATCAACCTCATTAGTGACCAGGGTAAAGCAAGATGTTATTCTCACCAGACATATTGGAGACAAACTGAAAATTGTAAACATCAAAGGTGATGTAGGTGATCTTGCGAGGAAAGAAGTACCCTCCTTTCTTCATACACTGCTGTGGGGGAAGAGCCAACGCAGTAAGACCACTTTGGAGGATATTTTCTTAGTATCTAGGAATCAAAAACACACAAGCGCAATGACTCAGCAAATTCTTCCTCCTACCCAGCTCCTCTTCCCACCCCCAAGTAAGAACATTCGTGAGCGTGCAAGCCCACGCCTTGACATTCATTGTGGCAGAAGAACTTGAGGTATGGTTCTCAGACCACCAGCATTCACATTCTCTGAGCACTTGCAGGAACTGCAAGAAGTAGGGTGGTTATCCCACCTCAGAACTATTGATTCAGAGTCTGTGATGATGGGGCCCAGGGATGCGTTTTAATAAGCCACTCTGGTGATTCTGATGCTCACTAGGCTTTCAAAAGTACTGTTTGTAATAAGGGAAAAATGGAAACAATCAAAATGTTCATCCTATGCCATGGCTTATTTATATTTTAGAAAATTAGCCAGCTGTTTAAAAGAATGGGGGTAGATAGGTGATGAGCCAGAAAAATACCCAAGGTAGACACATCACAGAATCACATGTGTATTATTGATGCTTTTAAAAAACTACAAAACAATGTCATATATTTTTACACACATATTTCTCTCTATATCTGTGTACATGCATGCATATGTGTTAACATTCAGCAGAATGTCTGCAGAATACACATCATGTATAATAGTGGTTATTTAGGCAAGGATACTGGGATTGGGGCAGCAGTTAAGGAGACCATAGCTTTATTTTTTTATTTTTTGTCATTTGATTTTTTGTAAGAGCTTATGCATATATTTTATGGAAACTGAATTTTTAGCTGGAGATCTGGGTTCTAGGCGCCCCCCTGCACCCATCCAGCTGTGTCATCTTAAGCAGGTGCCAGCCTCCGTGGACTTCAGCTTCCTAAAGTGCCCAACCAGGAACTGGGCCAGTGAACCCCAGAGTCCATTTTCCTCAGCTTTATCATGCTGTTCCTTGCCAGAGTTGTCTGAGTGTGAAAATCAGGTCACTTAATAAACCTGACCAAAGAAATAAAGAGAGAAGCATGCATATCTGTGTCCCCTGAGGAACTAGTTAATCATTATTTCCATGTGTCATCTTAGGACAAATGACTTACATGAGCTTTCCTGTGTTTAAATATTGTTGTGACTAAGAGGACCTCTTTATTTTTAAAGTAAATGTTTACAGACCTGATAAGACAAATTGCCAAGGGCTTGGATCTAAGTGAATGTTCAGGACCCTGGCCCCAGTGGCATTAGTGTGTGAAAATAAATGTGATTGCCTCATCCTAGCAGAATGCATTGGCTCAGATGATAATGATGCATGTGGTGAGCATGTAATTACATTGGGCACATAGACGGTGTCAGATTGAAGAACTACAGTGATAATGTTATGTTTTCATCCTAACAGAAAAACTAGAGATTTGTGTCAGTCACTATGTATTGATAATTTTATGCATCATCTTAAAAACTAAAGAGAAGTAGCTTATATCATGTATGAATCTGGATTGGTTTTGCTCACGGTACAGAGAAATCTAAATAAACCACAATTCCCATGGGGCTAGATATAAGAACTTTGATTAAATAAGAAATAAATGGAAAACAAAATGCATACTAAAAGCAAAGAGTAAGACAAAGCTAATTACAAAGTTCAATCGCCTTTACCTCATCAGGGAAAGTCCTGCTTTCTTGATAAAGGCAGTATTCAAGCATAGCAGTGAACCAGAAAGAGCTTCAGCGATTGTTAACAACCCTGTCATTTTATAACCAGTTAATGATAAATTGGGGACTAGAATCCAGTTTCTTAGGCCAGGGACCTTTCCAGAGCTAAAACAGAACAAACACGAATGTGTTAGTACCTTGTACACACATGGATGAGTTGCCCAATTTGGGCAATTATTTTTAAAAAGTAAATGCTTTTCATTATATTACCTTTACAGTGAGTTTTTAGAAAAGATTTATGGGGAAAATAGTCTTTTACAAATGTAAATAAATACTGTCTACATTTTACTAGAACTTAATAATTCTAGATATGGAGTAATTTTCTACTGATCTTTTTTTTTAAAAAGGATGAAATGATACAGTGTGTTGCGTATTCCCTATGTGTCATCCCATATCATTCTCCACCTTTCTCTGCTCTGCTCTGGTTCCTAGAAGATGAGCTCCCAATGGGCTCCCTTGCCTGCAGGCCTCTGTTGGTTTGTCCAGTTGGAGGTAAGATAGGAGAAAAAATATTTTGAGGAGGCAGTGAGGCTGGGGCTTTATCCCTCAGCACCTCCTCCGGCCCTACATCCTCACTGTCTTGCCAGCAATGGCTACTCTTTGAAAGCTCCAAGCTGTCTCTGAGTCCTTGACCACCCCTCACTGTTGTCCCTATTGGTGTCTAGCCCATGTCTGTATCCAGTTCCTTCACAAAATCCTTTTCAGTTAATACCTTAAACGCACCATCAGGTTCCCACCAGGACCTTCACTGCTCACTCCTCAGAGTAATAAGGAGTCTGTAAGTATCTGTGAAGGCAGGTACAAAGCCAGCAACGGCTAAATGAAGTCTCATGCTATCCTGAAGAAGTCCTGGATAGGGGCCAGATCAGGTCCTGCACAATTCGAGTCTTCCTCTCTGCCTGTTCTTCTCCGCTAGTGGGAGAGGCCACCTGCCATGGACCTGAGCACTAGGAGAGCTCTGGCTGGGTGTGCAGAGCATGCAGGGTCCTGGCTGCTTTGGGCCCAGGTTAGTTGGATGAGATAATGTCTCTCTCCAGGACAAAGAGCAGTCTTGCTCTCCACTTATTATAACTAAAGCAGTGGGTTCTGGAGCACAGTGTTCCTCAGCTGGACCCAAATCCTCCGAGTATGCAACCTCCACCTGGCCCATCTATGTCGCCCCCCTCCAGGATGTGGCAAACAAGGGAAGTGACACAACCACAACACGTGTGCCGTTTGCTGCACTGAGTCTGACCCAGGAGTCTCGTGTCTTCTTTGGAACCATGAAATAGGAGCAGGATAATTCATGACCTTGTAAGTAGGGTTGGATCTCAAACCCTGACACTCTCACCCATGAAGCACTAGCCACACTGGCTTTTCTTGCTTCCTTAGGCACACGGCCAAGTCCTGTCTTCAGGATTTTGAGCTCTGCACCCTTCGTATGGAATGTTCAGCGGAAAGTCTTCACAAGGTTGGGTCTGACTTTTCTCCACCTCAGGTCCCTTGTTGTCTCCTCAGAGAAGTTCTCCTTCACCATTTAGGCAAGAGTCACTCAGGCCCATCACACATTTTATTTCCTCTTAACATTTTTCACTATCTCACATTATCTTTCAGTTATTTGTTTGTCTAATGCCTAGCTTTCCTTCACTAAAATTTGGGTATAACACATTTCAGCTTATATGTTACATACAACAATCAAAAGAGTTAATGTAACAATGTCTGAAAACTGTGAAGTACAAGGTTACTCCTGTAAATTGCAAGGTTCAATTTTAAATAAATGAACATATGTGGGGTCAACCCTAATATTTTTTTTGCTTTATAATATCATGTAGGGAGATAACATAACAGCCACTAGATGCATTTCAACTCAAAAAGGGGGTGCTAGAAAAGTGAAGGAGTACGAGAGGTATTTCTCAACACATCTAGTTCTAAGTAATAACACATTGGAGTCTTCTAACTGGATGGGCTCATCCAGTTCTAAGTCACCACAATTACAGAGACATCCTGCAGAGATGACAACACTCCAGTGACTTCCAGGGCTTCACCCTCACTAATGAGGCAGATTCCATCAGCTCTGCAGGAAAACCAGGCCCACTGCCGCATGCTCCCTCTGGGGTTTGGGATGTTCACATGCTCTACCCCAGCAGGACGTGCAGTTTGTACTGAGTTCCACAGAGCCTTCTTGCAATGTGGGTGATTTGCATCCTTATGCTACAAAACAAGCTGATACAATATTACAAGGAGAAAGGAGACAGGAGGCTCCCTGCTCTAACATTTTTACGTAGCCCCCACTGGCTGAAGACTCACTGTGCCTATAAAGAGGAAATAAAGGCGCTTTCCTCATCCTTCCTCCAGCTCCCTGTCCGCCCTTCCCCAGCCTTCTGCTTACCCACTTTGGTTCCCTACTTGACCTGCTTGGCCACCCGCCTGTTTTCTGTGGTCCTACCCAGGGATAGGGCACGCTGAAGATTTGAACATAGAGACCATTTGGTTAAGAAAGAGCCTCACACAATGCTAAGAAGTAATTAGAAAAGTCTCAAAAATCTCTGATGCCAGTCACTTCATGGATACCAGGTTTTACTGTCAGACTGGAGACATCCCTGTGAAAAGCTGAAGTAAATTATGTCTAACAAAGCTTTCCTCATAAAACAAGATTTGGAGTATCTAAAAAAAAATGCCAGAGCACACACTTTGTGCCAGGCAATGTCCAAAAGGATAAATGCCACTAAAAGATCACTAAATTACTAAAACATTACTTTATTTAATCCTCACAGAAACCCTTTGAGGCAAACACCATTATTTCCCCATGCTACAGATAAAAAACGAGGTCTGAGAAGTTCAGTAACCCGCCCAGTGTCACACCGAAGACAGGTAGCCTGGCTTTAGGGGCCATCCCTCCAGCTAGTATGCCGAGCTGCCCATTAGATGACCAGCAAAGTCTCACGTGCTGATATTCATGATTCAGCTCCCTCAGTGCCTTAGTTTTCAGTATCTGCTAATATGCCTAATATTCATAAGGAAGATGGATTATTTTCCCAGATTCTCTCTGCTTTATTTCTTATAAGCTTGCTTTCTGGGTTAGTATGCAATCCTGGAGAGGGATTCTACTGTCACTCGGTCTTCAGAGGTATATTTGGGCCTTTCCAGGGCCCAGAGAAGTAGGTCTGCCATTTATTTCACTGGAGGAGAACTTACTATGGACACGTGAAAGAAAATGTGCCCAGTGGCCACAGGCACGTGAGTCCTGCGTCTTGATGCACCTTGTATTGTGACAGCTCTATGTACAAGTGGGGCCTTCAGAGGCTCTGCGCCAGGCCCACCTGCTCTTCTCTGGCACCCACTTTCCCCCTCCACCCTGCTAGTATTCAGACCTACA